GGGGGGTTTTTTTTGGCCATGAAAAGCTATTTTTAATAATAATTAAGGAAAGGCGCGGTGATTACGGTTATTGCTGACAACCTTCTCCCCCTCCTGCTCCACCCCGGGGGGACATCTACCCACCCATCCCCACCTCACCACCATCCTGGGTGCTTTAATCAGCTTTAATCAGCTAATTAACGCTCTGGCAGATTGGTTTTATACACAGGTAGTTTTATTTTACCGTTTGTTTTTTGTTTTTTAAGCCGTATTTCCATACACATCTCTTTTGTTTTCTGGTACGGTCGCTTCCTTTCACGTAGATATCAAGATTGAGTCGTTAACCCTTGAACCTACTGAGTACAAAGCTTGCACCCGTACAGAATAATCCGCTGATAACCACAAATGGTTTTCTAAGGTACCGTCCCCCCCTCCAAGGAGAGTTATTTAGTGTTCATCTAATCCCTCGATATTAAGCAATATTAAGGTCGATCAGCTTCATCCGAGGGGGAATATCCGTGTTCTTGTGGACCACCAGCCTCCATGTCCTCTTCCCAGGAACTGGAGGAGGAAAATCCTTTCCCTGACTCTTCGTGGGGAACCAGCTGTCACCAGGAAGACGAAGAAATCATCCAGACTTTCTCCAAGGCAGTTTGTTTTTGAGTGTTTATTCCCCGACGTTGGCGATTTCAAGAGGCAAACGCAGCTCGTACCGCGCCCGAGAGATGGGGCGGAGCCTTCGCTCCGTGGGGTTCAGACTCTCGGGGTGTCCCACTCCTCACTGTTATACACCAGTGGCTCGATGAGCACGGGCAGGACGGAGCTGGGGGGGCTCCTCACCATCGATTGATTCCACGGATGGACGTCGGTTCTTCTCCTCCTCACAACGGAGATTGAATTCATCGCCGCTTGGCTTTCTCTGCTGCAAACAGCAGCCGGGCGGTGGGGATTTGCACGAGATCTGTTTAGATTCTCTTCTCCCCAAATACAAAAAAAAAAAAAACCCAAAAAAACCCCAACCAACCCCCCAAAAAAATATGTATTTTAAGCTTTTCCTCAAAGCCAGCAGAAAATACTCGCCAAGCTTTAATAGGTGCAAGACGTAAACTAGGTTGTCGGACTCATCCCAAGGCGATGGGAAAGGCCGGGTACCCGGGAGTCCGTTTCCAGGTGCTTGGCAGCAATCAAAAGAAAAGGAGAAGTAAGAATTTGTCAAACCTGAACCATTAAAAAGTCACAAAAATTCCTTGAAATTCCTTTTCGGCCACTTTTTTTTTGTTTTTAAACTACTTTTCTCTCTCTGTCTCTCCATTTAAAACCAAAGAGTTCAAACCCTTCCCATGCACTTGGTTGATCTGATATAGAGAAAATAAAGAGGAAAAATAAAATAAAATAAAATAAAAATTGAGATTCTTTGAAACAGAACTTGCTCTTAAAGTGATGAGGACAACATGCACATCTGGGGAGGCTTCCCATTTTTTTTTTTTTCTCTTTTTTTTCCTTTTTTTTTCCTTAAATCCCAGATTATAAGTACAACAAAGGTTATTGCTGGCGCTAGCTTCAACCCAAGCGGCACACACACACGACTCCCTGCACCCATCCGAGTCTTTTCTCATCCCCCCCCCACTTCCCCTACGTTGTCCCCTTTTGACTCCTTTTCCCAAGGATTTAGGGACAAGCCCTTCTTCGGTTTGCCAGGTCACAGTGGGTGGAGATGTGGGGTGGGGGGGGAAGATCACAGTGCGTGGGGTTGAAGGTCACAGTGGGTAGAGCAAAAGGGGAATCACAGTGCAAATAAAACCAGGTCGTTCCCTTTGCTCAAGTCCGTTTGTCCGTCACGGCAGCGCGATGGGTGACGGACGGGGGAACCCTGCCTTCCTCAGCAGCATCTCTCGCCCGCGTTTATCTGCGTTGTTTGAAGCCTTGTGAGCCATCGGGACCCAGGGGTTGTCTAATCACATTATTGGGTTGTCTGGTGTCTTCTGGTTGAGAGATTCTTGGCGGCCTGGTGAGGAGAAAAGGGAAGAAAAACCCCAAGAGATGAGAAGGGGAAGGTAACTCGGCTGTGTCATGTTGTGTGCCTTCAACAATCATCACTCCTGGGATGGGGAAATCAGATTTCCTTGCCAAAGATTTAGGAGTTTGACTCTCAAGTAGCCAAGACCCGTGTTGCAACTACAGAGAGAACACGGTGCCTTCAAATAATCAGAGATAATAATGATTAATTTAAGAGCACTCAAGCTCGACTCTCCCATCTGCACGAGGCAGCTCCCCTCAGTCAAATACCTCAGCAACAGCGAGGATGTGTCCCACCAGGATAACTCCACTTGCCCTTCTTCTCTCTACCCCAACACACTCTTCCAAGGGTCTACGATAACCTCCACAGCCTGATCAGGCACTCACACTTCCCTGAACTGCCAGACCAACTGGAGCCACTGCAGAGGAGGCCACGAGGATGATGCGAGGGCTGGAGCAGCTCTGCTGTGAGGACAGGCTGAGAGAGTTGGGGCTGTTCAGCCTGGAGAAGAGAAGGCTCCGGGGAGACCTTCTAGTGGCCTCCAGTACATGAAGGGGCTACTAGAAAGGTGGGGAAGGACTTTGGCCAAGGGCAGGGAGTGACAGAACAAGGGGTGATGGCTTGAAAGTGGCAGAGGGGAGATGGAGATGAGATGTGAGGAAGAAATTCTTTGGTGTGAGGGTGGTGAGACAGTGTCCCAGGTTGCCCAGAGAAGCTGTGGCTGCTCCTCCCTGGAAGTGTTCTCGGCCAGGCTGGATGAGGCTTTGAGCAACCTGGTCTAGTGGAAGGTGTCCCTGCTGCTGGCAGGGGGGTTGGGACTGGATGAGCTTTAAGGTCCCTCCCAACCCAAACCAGTCTGGGTTTCTGTGATATCTGAGGTTCAGGATTCCCTGCTTGCTAACAAAACGCTCCTTCCTCCTCGCCAGCCTCACTCCACACTTCACAGAGCTCATCCCCCTCCTCCTGATCACAAGGTGTTTGTGAGGAGGCGCAGGCAAAGCTGCTCTCACCTAAACAGAACAGGTTCCTCACCTATCTAGAATGGGTTTCTCCTGTTCTTCTTCGGGGCTCGCGCTGCCCAATATTCGTTTCCTGGCTTCCGCGTACTCCGCCTCCCTCTGCGCCAAGGATTTGACGGGGAAGGCCGGTCTGCTGGCCGAGTTGGGATTGCTGAGCACGCCGTTGGTCGTCGGCCTCTTCAAGATACGGATCTGTGGGGGAGGACCTGTGGGAAGGCTGTCGTCCTGAATCACGATGGGCACTTTAGGAGGAGATTTGGACTTTCTACTGTTTAAAAGAAAAAATAATGATAAATTTGGTTGGTACTTGTTTTCTACAGTGAACGTGTTTTCTGCTCTGCGTGTGAATTCCTCCCAGTCAGATGTCATTCCTGTCATTAAGAGTTAGCCTGTAATAATTAAAGACCTGGTTATAATTGTAATTTTAAACTAGAGCAGCAGGTAGGTTTGCAGGACATCAGCTCAGGAAGGGACAGGAAACCAGTCCCTGCTGCGTTCGGCATCTTTAACCTCAACTGAAGCGAAGGGAAGCAGACACTGGGCACGTGATTTAGTGCTTCTATTCAGAGATATTGGTATAAGCACCTGGATTTCATTCCCTGCAAGGATTTTTAGGGTTCCTCTCACCAGGATACTCAGCTTTCCACTCCAAACCTGCCATTTCACTTCACAGAGCCAGTCTCAGCCCCCGTGTTTCACCATTTTTATGTCCCAGAGAAGTAATACCATGATGGGGGGAAAAAACAAACCCAACTCAACAACAAAAGACTTGTCAGAAGTGATTAGAAATGTTTCTGCTAGAAGACAGGGACACCCCAACCCAAAAAGAAGCAGGAAAAGAAAGTCTTACTGATGGAAATTTAGGGCTGTGAGTTGGAATTACCTGACTTAGGTCACCCAAGGAAGCTGTGGCTGCTCCTCCCTGGAAGTGTTGAAGGCCAGGTTGGATGGGGCTTTGAGCAACCTGGTCTAGTGGAAGGTGTCCCTGCTGCTGGCAGGGGGGTTGGGACTGGATGAGCTTTAAGGTCCCTCCCAACCCAAACCATTCTATGATTCTATGACTTTGAATGTCTTTTTCTTACATGGTTTCCCCACAGCTGGAGCTACATCCAGTCTAAAAGACTCAACTCTGAAATCAAATCACCCTCAAGAAGCTTTCTGTTACCCTGCTCTGGATTAAAAGGACGATCTAATAGCATAATTACAGAATTCCCTTAATTCTGAACTCAAACCAGCATGCTCTGCTCAGTTTGAAGCTATTTCCCCATGGTTCTCACTCCCGGCGCCTCCGATGTCCAACGGCACCTCAGGAAAACAAGGAGGTTTGTAACCGAACCACGCAGCCTCGTTACCTTTCTTTCTGTGTGATCTTCAGCTTCTTTTCCAACCGTCTGTCTATTTCCTAGAAAGGAAAGAGATACACATTCTGTGATCCATCCTCTGTGATAAAAATCCACTCTGTGATAAATAAAAAGCCTGAAGGTTTGTCTGGGAGGTTGGAGTTGAAGGGCTGGTCACGCACGTGTTGAATTTCACTCTTCTGTACAGCAGAGAGAGCGCGTGGCTCCATCCGGGGATGATTTGCAAATCAAGAGGCAGAGAGAAATAAAATCACCAGGTCTGTCCTACTGGAGCCATTCAGACACCTACAGCAGGCTCTGGATTTTGAGTATCACGCTGAGAGGCATTAATCTTCCACTTTGAGGACTTCATCTGGCAAGAAAGCTCTATTGAAGGTAAAGAACCATGGGAATACACAAGGTATTCCCAGATCCCAGTGGGAACTGGTGCCAAAACTCTCTGGCAGAGAAGCAGCAGCCGGTTGGGATGATCCACATGGGACCACATGCTTGATTCCAGCGGGGCAGCTCAACCCCAGAGCCTGCAGCTATTGGGAGGACTAGAGGACTAGCCGGCAGGGCCGCATTCCT